TTACACCCACGTCATAAACATTATGAATACCGAGTTCTCCTTAATTTTGTTCAATATGGGATCGGTGATATTATTTCAATCTAATTTATGTCGAAATATTTCGACTAAAATAATTTGCATTGTTGTTGTGTCTTATTAGCATCAAGTTTGTTTATATGAAACATGTGTCGAAATTTGTGTCTAAAAATATCAGACGATGAATATTAGTGTCAAATTAACATCTCATTTGTGTCGGAAAATATCGTTGAATGACGAAATATTATTATCGATTTAGCGTCAGATTTTGCATCTGAAAACTGAAGCAAATCCGACGCAAATCTGTAACACAAAAAAAAATATCATTTATTTTTTACAACATGCACAAAAAGACATTTTACATTACATGCCACTGTTGACCTCATTAATGTCTCTCTTTCTCTCTCTAAAACATAGGATTTAGCCTTACGATTTCCTAATAAATTCGCCTAGAGGACTAGTGATGGGACTCATACCATTTAGAAATTAAATCATCTCTGCACTCCTTATGGTTTTATTTATTTGACCTTGAATCCTTAAACTTTGGTTGAGTTAATTAGGGCCAAGCTATTGAAGCTCAATTTGAGTTCCCATATGTTTGAATCCCTAAGCAACCATTTCAAGCTTGGAGACTTGGTTTTATGTTTCAAGTATCTTTTGACCTTATAGGACTCAATCAATCAAACTTAATATTTGCTCTTAATTCACGTCTTTGGTCCAAGATGAACTCAAACTTGTTTGAAGTACGTCTTAAACCATGATCTAGTTTAAATTGAAAATAAAATGAGAAATTAATTGATTGAAATAAAAAGAAAATTTGAACTAAAGTTGGAATTAAACACATGAATCAATAATCAAGAAATTTTTAATTCAAATCAAAATTAATATTAAAAATAATTAAATCATATAATCCTAACTAATTTCGATTTAAATATAGTTAAAGTTAAATTCTTTTTTAAAATTCTAATTTAATAGGAATAAAAAATGATAATAATAACAAATTTTTAAACTTTTAAAATAATCTAAATAAATTCTCAATAGAAAATTTTAGCTATTTTGTTTTATCAAATGTTAAAAAAAGTTAAATTTAAAAATAGAAAAATAAATAAAATAAAATTTAAATATAACTAATTAAAATCGTAAAATGATATAATATATATTAATTTTAAATAAAATTTCAAAAAAAAGCAAAATAAAATGATTCAATTTCTTAATAAATAGAAAGAAAAGAAAATTAAAATTAAAATTATAACTGATAAAGTAGGGGAATCTCCTAAAAATACATATTTTAAATGATCAGGAAGTAGCTTCAACTCAAGTTCTAGAGGTTTTTCAATAGAAAGACAAAATGATTTATCTTTGTATATTGTGTCCAAAATTTCAAAACTTTCTTGAACATAGTTTGAATCTTCCTTAAAAAGATCTTCATATTGATCTAATTCCTCTTCTTGCTCGTGTTCCAAATTTTTTTCTTCAGATTTTCCTTCATAAGTAGTTCTGAAATGACATTCACTTAGATATCTTGTGACATCCATTCTAAAACATTGATCTTCTTTACCTTTTCCAGGGTATTTTATTGATCTTGAAATGTTAAAAATAACAGTTTGATCATTGACGCGCATTGTTAGTTACCTTTTTTGCACATCTATCATTGCTCTTCCTGTGGCTAGGAAATGTCTCCCCAAAATGATAGATATCTCTTTATCTTTCTTCATATCTAGCACAATGAAATCAATAGGAAAGATAAATTGATCCACTTTCACTAGGACATCTTTTATAACTCCTTTAGGGTATGTTATCGAACGATCTGCTAACTGCAGAGTAATAGTAGTAGGGGTTATTTCTCATAATCCCAATCTTTTAAATATTGATACTGACATAAGATTAATGCTTGCACCTAAACCACATAAAGGTTTCCCATAAAATCTGTCTTCTATTACACATGGAATTGTAAAGCTACTAGGATCTTTAAGCTTTTAAGGAAGCTTCTTCTGAATTATTGCACTGCACTGCACTGCACTCTTTAAGTACAACAGTCTCATTATCTTCAAACTTCTTTTTTCTGTTACCTTGCATGTTACGGATCCGTATTTAATGACCATTATTTTGAAAGTAAAAAAATATTTTTTTCTGCTTATTACATCCATCATAATTTTAAAATTATGCATATAACAAGCTAGGCCATATGCAAGGTCAACCCGTTTTCAAAATCCATCCTAGGTGAACCATTTAGATCCCTTGGATTTTTAGGACAAGACCTAGATGTAGGTCAGGAAACCTTCTCGTTTGATTGTGTGCTAGACTAGGTCTATGATTATATGTAGTATTTTCAATGCTTCTAGCTTTTATTCTCTGTTGATTTGACTGGTCTAGCCAAGCCTCACTTTTTTTGTTTTCCAAGTGTTCTTGCATGTTTGATATGCATCATAGTATATTAGGGCGTCCTTCTGCAGGGAGCCGTAGATATATATATGCATACAGAAGTATCATTAAGGGGGAGCATGTAATGATTTTTACTAATTTTTTCTTGCATGTGCTATTTAGCTTCCTCGACCAAAAGGGCACGACTCAGATATAATTTCATGAGTTAACCCTAATTAACAATCTTCCACATGCCGAGTCTTTATTATTATTTTTAAATGTATTTGATAGAGTTCCAAAAAAAGTACGGGCACAAATTTTAAGGCAGGGACACATCAAACCACGTGATGAGGATCTAGAGCAGCTGCTCTTGTCCTCTACCTTAAGTATTAATTTTATATTTTTGTATAGATCTTAGACTTGACATGTATATGTAGAGTATGACCGTCTTTTCTGCTTTTCTCGGGATATGTCGCAGACCCAGCTTCATTGGGTTTTCTTATATATGTTAGCATGTTTTACTTTCTATTGCATGTTTATATGCTTGGATTGTTTTATGTGTTTCTTTCTAGTTTATCTGGAATGCTATGAAAATTATAATCTAGACTCATTAAGGACCCTAAAATTATAAATTTTCTACCTAATATCATAACAATAACAGATTTAAATAATCAAAATTTTAAGATTAAAATTACCAAGATTTTCAAAAACTCTCTTTTACCTTTTTGCATGGCCTTCTAGCCGGATTTTAAATGGGTTGCATAACATGACCCTCACCAAGACATAATTAATAGGGCTTCCACATTATGGCTTATTAGCTAGTTGCATCATATGCATATTCTGAAAGAAGCCTCTGTGCTTCTCCAACCCGATTGACCCAACCTAGATTTCTACTTAAGTGGTTGTCTAGTGTCATAAGTCGTTATCAACTTCCTTAACCCAAACTAGGAGTACGACCTACCGTTGGAAGTGTTTCTAGCTTTATAGCTTTACCCCAATTTCTCTTCTTTTCCAGCAACATCCCGACTACTTTAACAGGTATAAGTCCCACATCTTGGAGCTCCACCTGATAGTCATATGATAGAGTTTCATTTCTTTGACTTTAGAGCTACCGAGTTTCCCGTAGACGACTCAATTTATGGATTGCTGTCGGGGATCTCTGGACATGTTGGATCGACTAACTTCTTGACCAGATAGACTTAAGGTCCTGGTTGCTTGTGATGACAAATCTATGATACCCCGACCTGACTACCTTCACCTGTTAGAGATTACTCCTCCCTTCCTTTCACTACTCACTTTAAGCCTTGTCGCTCATTTTACCTTCGTTGATATTATCTCAAAAGCTCCATTACTGATGAGTCGTAGACTGCTTGGAACATGACAATTTATCCTTTGCCCTTATGGCTTGACTTGTCTTGGTAAGTTTTGTCACACAGAAGTTCTTCACATTCTTTCTATTGTTTTTCTGCCTTTGTCGTGTATCCTACTTTTTTTATTTCTTTTTTCTTATGATCATTTGCATGTTCCAAAAGAGAGAATTATTCAGAAAAAGGGAATTATACGATGATGGACAAACTGATGACTCTTTTAAAAAAAAAAAAAATTAATGAAAACATTCTCTTAAAAGAATTTGTTCCTCGAAGTTACACCTTAGTCCTAAAATAGTAGTGGGCACTTTGCAATCTTCTCATCTTCAATCTCTTGAGGTGCTTTTTTACTTCAACTAGTTCTTCCAAAGTAATTTAACAAAAGAAATGAATCTATAGTGCATCAATGTTGTAAAGCCTGATACACCATAACACGCATGATCAAGTGCCCCAATAAGGGGCTCCCTAATGCTTCAATCCAGAGAAGAATGCCAACCCATGTGCGCAAAAGTGGCGCCTAAGTGTTGTACCCATTTAACACGCACTTGTGCTTGGATCCAGTGGCCCATCTGAGGCTCGACGATACCCGAATTTGTGACTTTAACTCAATCAAGCAAAAATACAACACCTGTGAGCATCATTACTACGCCATAAGCAGTTTGTAAACAGTTAGAAATTTAAGCCTCCATTTAATGAAGGATCAATACAATTTATAGTGGTGTATTCTTGATGATGCGTGACAGGTACAGAGCAACATCTGTGTCGAGTATGTGGACTTCAGTGACTGCTTTCTCTTGTGATATAAAGAGAAGAAGGACATGAACTGTTATAAGTTTCAGTGGTGCATATAATGGATAGGAGTAGTATATTTTGTACTATGATTCTTTCATAGTGAAATTTTTTGCTTATAAGCATACTAAAAATCTTACACAAAACAATTCATCTAATTAAAATACAATTATGCTTATAAGCATACTAAAAATTAATCAGTTATTAAGCTAGACATAGCCTAATTAATCTTACTTATCTCACCATAGATTCAAACTCATTATTAAATAAATTTATTATTATTATTATCATAAGGTGTAAGATTTATCTTAAATTAACCTTATTCTAACCTATGGGATTACTAAACCCTAAACTGAAAAAAAATAATTGATTTTAAATTGGATAACGACATTATTGAAAGAAAGAGAAGTATAAAACAATAAGTAGGAGCTCGGTAAGTCATTTGACCATTAAGGAGGACGAGTAGCTCCATAGTTAGAAGAAATAAGAAGGTGAGCTTGGTGGTGGTTGCAAAGCCCAAAAAAGGAAAAAAAAATTACACAACACTTTTAGCTTAGAAAATAAAATAAAAATTTTGCCTTTATAAATATAACAATCTCTTACAAATTCTCAAATCTCAAACGAATGAAGCTCAGCTGCTAATGGTGAATCTTCAGTTATGCTAAAAGAGCTCACCATCTTAACGCAACTCATTCAAACCTACGCCCGAAACGGTAAGCTTCAAAAGGGCAAGCAGCTCCACGCCCACCTCCTCACATCCACCGGCATCCCCTCTACCTTCATCGCCAATCACCTTCTCAACATGTATGCCAAATGCGGCGATCTCACCCATGCCCTCAACATGTTCGACAGTATGCCGCAACCTAACCTCGTCACTTGGACTGCCATGATCACTGGCTTCTCCCACAACGCCAGGTTCCTCGATTCCCTCCTAACCTTCTACAACATGCGCGCCTCCGGCATTCAACCGACTGAGTTCGCCTTCTCCAGCGCCATCCAAGCAGCCACCGCCCTCGGATCCCTTGCAGTCGGGATGCGGCTTCACTCTCTTAGCCTGAAGCTAAGTTACAACACAGAGCTGTTCGTCGGCAGCAATCTTGCCGACATGTACTCCAAATGCGACTCCTTGGCTTTCGCTTGCAGGATTTTCGAGGAGCTGCCGGAGAAAGACGAGGTTTCTTGGACCGCCATGATCGTTGGGTATGCAAAAAACGGTGATTTTGACAAAGCTTTGGTGGCATTTCACAGTATCCTTGAAAATGAAACCCTCGCCGCCGATCAGCATGTTTTCTGCAGCGCTCTCAGCGCTTGTGCAGGGCTGAAAGCTGGTCAGCTCGGCCGTTCAATCCATGCCAGGGTGGTAAAGTCAGGCTTTTCGACAGAGAACATTGTCAACAATTCACTCACTGACATGTATTCCAAGAACGGAGACATGGAGAGCGCTGCAACTGTTGTTGATACCTCTTCTAATGGCTGGAACGTTGTGTCCTGCAGCTCGTTGATCGACGGCTATGTCGAAGTGGACCGCATAGAGGAAGCCATTACCACATACGTGGAATCAAAAAGGCGTGGAATTTACCCCAACGAGTTCACTTTCTCAAGCTTGATCAAGGCTTGCGCCAACGATGCCGCTCTGGATCAAGGAATCCAACTCCATGCTCAGGTGATCAAAACCAGCTTCTTCCTCGACTCCTTCGTCTGCGCCGTCCTTGTCGACATGTACGGCAAATGCGGCCTTCTCTCCTCTTCATATCAAATCTTTGAAGAGACTCAGAACCCAACCAACATCACCTGGAATTCCATAATCAACGTATTTGCACAGCACGGCTGCGGCCAGGACGCGATTGAGGCATTTCATCAAATGGTTGCAAGACACATCGAGCCGAACCACATAACTTTTATCATTCTTCTTATGGCCTGCAGCCATTCCGGGCTAGTAGAACAGGGGCTTGAATTCTTCGGTTCGATGAACGAAACCTTCGGCATCGAGCCGAGAGATGAGCATTACTCTTGTGTAATCGACATGCTCGGCCGAGCTGGGAAGCTCCGGGAAGCTGAGGAATTCATCCATAAAATGCCTTGCAAGCCCAACGCCCACGCTTGGTGCTCTCTTCTCGGCGCTTGCCGGACTTACGGGCGGAAAGAGCTCGGCGAGCTGGCGGCGGAGAAGTTGATGAAACTAGAGCCGGAGAACAGCGGAACCCATGTTCTTCTCTCGACCATCTACGCCGGCGTGGGGCAGTGGGAGGACGTGAAGGCGGTGAGGAGGTTGATGAAGGATAACGGGAGGAAGAAACTGCCGGGACTGAGCTGGACTGAGGTGGAGCAGAAGACGCACGTGTTTGGCGCAGAGGATTGGTCGCATCCTAGGAAGGATGAGATCTACAAGAAGATGGAGGAGCTGTGGGTGCGGATCAGAGAAGAAGGGTATGTGCCATACACGGCGGCGGTGGTGAGCAAGGTCGAGGAAAGCGAAAAGGAGAGGCTTTTGAGGCATCACAGTGAGAGAATCGCGGTGGCGTTCGCTCTGATAAGCTCGCCGGTGGGGAAGCCGGTTATCGTGAAGAAGAATCTGAGGGTTTGTGTGGATTGCCATTCGGCGATTAAGCTTATTGCGAAGGTAGAGGAGAGGGTGATTATTGTAAGGGATAGTGCTCGGTTTCACCATTTTCGGGATGGGAGTTGCTCTTGCAGGGATTATTGGTGATTGTAGAGGGATTCTTCCAGTGCAAAGATGTTGGTGGTTTAGATTTATATTAAATGATTTTATGATTTATTTGATGGGAGATGTAGTTGTTTGAAGAAATAGTTATAAAGTTAGTATAAATTTACTTAGATTTCAAAAAATTAGATCTTAATTTTCTGATAACCACCATGTTTTAATACGTCAGATTACAAAAAAATAATTATCAACCACAAAAATTTCTAGAAAATAGTAAGAAATCAGTTCTACAAACACAACTATGATATGAATCTGAAAAAGCAAAATAGAACCCTTTAATCCTCTTAACTTTATTTTTTGTTGAATTAGATTTTTTTCTTATACATTTTTAAGTTTGCAAAATATAAATTTATCATCATTTTCAAAAAAATATTAATAATTAATATTATTAAAAAATAAAATTTAATTTAATTTAATAATTATATTCTTAATATATAAAATTAAATTTATATTAGAGCATTTACATACATACCAATTAATTCTTATGTTTTTCCTATTTAACATTTAAATTTTAATTTTTACATTAATATCATTCAAATCTCATAATTTAAAATTTTAAGAAGTGAGATGGTTGTTCTTATGCATAAATAAAATGAGATATAAATAAAATTTGAAGTTTAGCGTTGAATATGTAATTTGATAAGACTTGGGTTATGTATGCAAACCTTCAATTAATATTTTCAGAATTTCTAAATCCTACAGTCCTACTAGTTGAATCCTACTTGCAGCCAAACAAAAGCAGGTGTTAGGGATTTAGGACAAAACGCTTCCGTGCTCCCGGAGATGATTCGAATTGCGTGCTCTAGGGACGCAGGGAGCTCAAATTATTCTTCCTAATCCCTAACTGATAGGAACTGGCAACTCGTTTCCATCCTCTTCGCATCATTTATTGGTATTGTTTACACTATTTACTTCTAAAGGTCTTTCGATTTTTGGATGAAGTTTTCATATCTTTTGCTTGGTTTCTTTGAACATCTGGGCTGAAATAAAGTATTTGTTATTTATTTTTTTGGTTTTCATCCAGTTTAGATACTTCTTAAGGATTTCTAGGGCTTGCGATTTTTACTCCTTTTATGTTTTTAATTTCCGGAAGAAAATCGGATGAGTTAGCTTGTAGTAGAGGGCAATCTCTTTTAAATTTGCGGAAAATGCTGAATTGGAGTAAAAATAAAGCAGTAGATTCCACGGAAACGGAAAGATGCTGAATTGGGTTCCATATCTTCGTTTAGGTTGTTACCAATTTTATTCAGTGAAAATATCAATTATTTTTTGCCTGGTTTATACGTTAAGTTTTAATACATCCATTATGTATATTCAATTTTAGTAAATCCGATTTTACTGCATCATGTATATTCGAGTTCATCAAATTCCGTTGGTATTGCTTGAAAACGGTTTGAATATTTATATTATTAATTAGTGCGCATTAGAACTTAAGTTGGTTTTAAACTGGTAGTTTGATTAGTGATTTAGTTGGATTCTAATTGAGTAATTACTGAACAGGCCTTAGCTTAAGCTAATTAAGATTGAATTGAGTTATGAATTAGATTAAGCAGGACTTAATTTATGTTGTTAAGAGTTTATATTTAAGTTTAACAGGTGGATCTTGAATAAGATAAAATTACTGAGTTAGGAAATTTATTGGTTAGCTATTTATGGTTTTGCTGTGATAATTAATGCTTTTAAACTTAGGCTAATGAAACATACAAGAAGTCATTGATATATGGATTAATCAAAGTAGTTAATAAATGATTATGATGCTAATTTATAGATTAATTATGGTCAAATTATGCTGATTGGTGCTAAGCCAGACTAATTAGAAAATAAATAAACCTTAATTTGGCTAAAACAAATTAGAGTAATTGACTAAATATTACAACTAGTAACTAATACTGATTAGACTAATAATGACTTAAAATTTTTATTAAATTAAATAATCAATGCATTTACACTAATAATTTTTTAACTTGAATAGTTATATAATCAATGCTTATGTGGTCCAATGTAACATTGAATACTTCTTTTAAAGCATTTTTAATTAAAAATTTTTCATGCCTTTTCAATCCATTTTAAACGCATGCAAAACTCTATCACTTTTATATGTTCTTAAGGTATTCCTGCAGAAAGTATTGAGAAATCTAAAAGATATCCTACAACAACAACAATAACAACACAAGCCTTTATTCCACTAAGTGGGGTCGGCTACATGATTCCTTTTTATTCATTGTGTCTTATTTAGCGTCATATTTCCATGTATACGTAATAAGTTAAGATCATTATTTATACAATATGCCCAAGTATTGTATTTTTAGGTCTACCTTTGACTCTCTTAGCATAAGTCTAATCTAAAACATCCACTTTCCTAACCGGATCATAGATGGTCGACGTTTAATGCGACCAAACCATTTAAGACAACTCTCTCTAATTTTGTTTGCCACTGGAGCTACACAAACCCTTTCACGGATACATTTGTTTCGTATTTCATCTCTAAGTGTCAAGTTATTCATCCACCTAAGCATTCTCATCTTAGCAACACTTAACTTAGTTTTATGCTTCTTTTTTAGAGACCAACATTCTGCGCCATCAAACATCACATGTCTCACCACCATCTTATAAAATTTTCTTTTTAAGTCAAAACAATACTTTTCTATCGCACAATAGGCCGGATGCATTCCTCCACTTCAACCAACCAACTTGAATTATACTTATAACATCCCCATCTATATTGACATCACTTTGAACAATATAGACCCGAGATATGTAAAGAATATCCTAGTTTTTTTAAATTTTTTTCGAGTATGGATAACTTTCTTTCAATTGAATGTTATGCCTTTTTTTTTATTTTTAATATTGATATTTATGATTCTAAAACCATTCATGGTAGAAAGCTGGTATCGTAGGAAAGGAGAATATTGTTAGAGACAAGCATGATACTCTCCTAGGTGCTCACATAAGACAATATGAGGCCATAACTCCCGGCACTCCTCACAGGCGAGCATCACTACCACAAGATTGCTTAGCAGAGTTTCTTGCTTTAAGGTGATGCTACATAGTGAAACAACCTTTCCTTCATGGGAATATAGGTGCTTATACTCTGAATGTCAAGTTTTTACTTAGGTTTTAATGAAGAAAAATTTTAATTGATTGAAGTTAAAAATGCTGCTTACGAACGAGTTAGCTTAAATGTATTTGTTAGAATTTAAAATTTTTGAGTTGTAAATCTTGACAAATAAGAAGATTAGTCCAAGGAGATGCAAGAAGAAATCAAGGGCTACAAATTCACTTCACATGGATATGATGAAGATAGAATAAATAATAGGGGAGATTGGATTAATCTAAGCTTTCCATGTTACAAATTTAAATTTTAACTCTTTATCTTTTTTAAAGATTTTTTTGCGCACACCGTTTAGCAGAAATTTAATTTTGGTTCTTGTAATGCAATGAAACTTGAATTATTAGTATTTTTATGAACTTTGGTTATCTTGATTATGATTTACTTTTCAAAATTATCCTCATAATTAGAATAAATTTATTGAGTGAAATACCAATTTCTTTTTTATCATATATTTTCACTTTGCCAATCACCTAGCTAACATATCTCAATGAATGCCATTACTGAAAATTTTTTATAGCTATGGTATGTGTGATAGAAATGGGATTGTAGAAAGTGGATCTGCGAGAAACTAGAAACATAGAGTGAGAAAAACTATTATAGATATAACGTCGTTCCCTCTACTGAAAGTAAACTAAAGAAATACGGTTCTGCACTAAAAAACATTGGTTCTGCAATGTGCATTGGATGGATAGATAATGTTAATATAGATCAAAAGTATACTTAAATAACATGACTATAGTTGAGAAATGATTTCTGCCAAAAAAAAAAAAAATTTTAACTACTCATGTATCACTCTAGCATGACTGGACATTCACTAAGGCTCTGTTTGAGACAGCTGCAGATTATTAATAATCTGCTGATAAATAACTGATCCACTGATCCAGATAAGCTGCTGATCAGCAGCTGATCCGGATAAGTTGACTGTCATTTTGGCTTGTGCATTTGAAAAACAACTGATTTGCAGTTGTTTTTAGATAAATAATCATTCTGTCTTTGTGCAGTATTGTTGTTTACAACAGAACTATCATAACTATAAATTAGATACTTTAGAAACAAATAACCAGTTCTTAACAGTATAAAAAAAGAGACACACCTCAGTTTAGAGAGAGTACCAAGATTACTTAAAAAAAAAATAATAATAATTAAATTAATCGATTAGTTGCATAAAATTACTCTCTTTGTATCTCATCTTCGCCACACTCAATTCCCTCTAAGTACTCACCGCAACCTCTCCACAGTATAATCAATAGATGTAAAGCATCATGATCAACAAGTAGTTCGCTACGAAACCCTCTCCCATATTGCAATTTGAAGTAGCAATTCTAACAAGTAAGCTAGCATTTCCGACACATTAAACTGGATAAGAAATAAGGTGAAATATTATTATGGATAAATATTATATAGTAACTTAAATTAACTTATTATCCTGGATAAATATTATGTAGTAAATTAAATTATCTATTTGATTACTAATTTTTAAAATTTATATCATCATTTTATTTTTCAAAAAGTGAAATATAGCTTAGCATGCATAAAAAAGATGATAGGTATGTAAAAATTTAAATTTAGGTGTTAGATATGTAAATATATAAAAATTGAGTGCTATGTATGCAAATCTTCCAAGAAAAATTTTAGCATACTTATGAAAATAATAAATAATGAACATATATATTTTTTGATTAAAAGTACTCTTTATTGGCGTAAAACTAATTTTCCATTATTGCTATCGCAAAACAACTCGAATAACACCAATTTTGGCAAAATGCTCGAATAACACCACATTACTCATCAATAACATCAAAAAACTTAGCTAATAACAATAACACCTAAATACTTCTGAAAAACAACTCGAATAACACTGACTCGGGCAAAAGACCCGAATAACACAGCATAACTTATCAATAGCACAAAAAATCTAGGTAATAACACCGCAATAACACCTGAATACTGACGCAAAATAACTCGAATAACACTGACTCTGGCAAAGGACGCGAATAACACCGCGACATCTCACCAATAACACAAAAATAACCTAGCTTATAACACCGCCAATAACACCATCGGAGGGCACGAGAGGGCAGAGCCATAAACAATTTTCTCTGAACGCGGGACACGGGATCGAACCCGCAGGTTGCGTGTATTACAAAAGCAAAACCAGTTTATCCCGCAATGCAGCGTAGACAGAGAAAACAAACACCCGTATCGGCGTTTTGAAAATGCCTCGCAGTTGTACCGCTGCGTAAAATGGGACTTAAATCAAATCTTAATAGGTATGCATCGCCAATTATGAAAATGGATTTAAATTCATGCACTTTTCATCAAACCGAGCTTCGAGCTGGCTTATGAAGCGCTTGTGAGTCTAATCTTGAATTGATTACTCAATTAGTGGAATAAATATAGGCCTTATAATAGGCATGAATTGATAACTCAATTATTGGTCTTATAATAGACATGAATGGATTGCACAATTAGTGAAATAAATATAGGTCTTAAAATAAACGTGAATTGATGGCTTTTAATACCGACAATTCTCTTTGCCTTTATTGTGTACATTTTCTTTTTTTCGGTATGCATTGGTTAGTATAAATTGGGTGTTGTGCTGCAATGTAAGACATACACTCCAAACTTATATTCTTTCCTCTTTCAAAATAATACAAAGAGAATTCCCAAAAGTTTAGTCTCTTTTTCTTTCAATTTGTCCTTCAGCGATCCATTAAATTGAAACCAACATTTGGTATCAGAGACAAGTTAGTCGAAGGACATGTCGTCACCGAGCAAAGCTATCAAAGGAGATATGACAACAATGAAGATCGGAAGCCCTAACGCTCACTTATCCGTTACTCACGAAGAGTAACTACTCGGTGTGGGCGTTGAAGATGCGTGTGAACCTACAAGCTCAAGGAGTGTGGGACGTCGTGGAGCAAGACGAGGTCGAAGAGCATAAGGGTAGAATGACCCTCGCTGCCATTTATCAAGCGCTACCAGATGACGTTCTTCTCACGGTGGCAGAGAATGATTCCGCCAAGAAAGCATGGGAGACACTAAAGACGATGCACTTCGGCGTGGAGCGAGTCAAGGAGGCGAAAGTGCAGACCCGGAGGACTCACTTCGAGGCGATCCGCATGAAGGACGGAGAGACGGTGGACTATTTCGCCATGAAATTGACGTCCATTGTGACAGACATCCGCTCGTTAGTAGAGAAGGTGGAGGAGATCTTTGTCGTCAAGAAGTTCCTTCGAGCCGTACCACAAAAATACGTACAGATCATCACTGCGATCGAGCAATTCGGTGACCTCAAGAACATGACTGTCGAGGAGGTCGTCGGTCGTCTCAAAGTCCACGAAGAGAGACTTCGCGGCTACGGAGACCACGAGGAGGAGAAGCACCTGTTGCTCACGCATGCAGAATGGATGTCATGAATGAAGAAAAACGGAGAAGCCGATTTTTCTTCTGAATCATCGAGTAAATCATCGAGTAGCGGCGGCAACGGAGATAGCCGAGGTCGTGGCAAAGGGCGGGGACGAGGGCAAGGTCGAGGCGGAGAAAGCTCACCTCTACAAGAAGACATCAAACCCCGCAAAGACAAGAGCACAGTGAAGTGTTACAATTGTCAAAAGTACGGACACTACGCGTCTGATTGTCGTAGCAAGAATGTCGAAGAGGAAGCAAACCTTACTAGCCTCCATGATGAGGAGCTAGCGTTGATGTTTGCCGAGGGAGTGGTGAATTCCTTGCCCGAAGACGAGGAGACAAACCTCAAAGAGTTCACGCAAGAATCGTCCAAGAAGGAACCAGAGGGGGTGTTGCTCAATGAAGAAAAAGTCAAAACGAACCTCCTCGCAAGTGGCGAGGAGTACAATCACACCGATGTATGGTATCTTGACAATGGAGCAAACAACCACATGACAAGTTCAATGAGCTCGACGAGAAGATCACAAAAAATGTGAAGTTCGGAGACGGCTCACTCATCGAGATCAAGGGCTGAGGAACCATCCTGTTTGTATGCAAAAACGGTGATCAACGTTTAATGACCGAGGTATATTACATTCCGAAATTAAAAAGTAATATCATAAGTCTCGGTCAGATGACAAAAGAAGGCAACACGATTACCTTAGTCGGCTCGTTCTTGAAGATGTTCGACCAAAATGACGCCCTGTTGATGAAGGTGGAAAAATCGCCAAATCGGTTGTACAAGATTTCCCTCGAGACCAGCCAACCCGTTTCTCTATTAGCATCACTAGCAGATCCGACTTGGTTATGACATGCGAGACTTGGGCATGTAAACTTTTATGCGCTCAAAATGATGGGGGAGAAGGAGATGGTCATAGGGCTGCCTAAGATCACACACCCCAACCAAGTGTGTGAGAGTTGCATGATTTCAAAGCAAACAAGACTGTCGTTTCCTGCCCAAGCCAACTTCCGAGCCGAGCACCCTCTACAACTTGTGCACGCGGATCTGTGTGGTCCGATCACCCCGACATCACTCGCCGGTAACAAGTATTTCTTTTTACTTGTTGATGATTATAGTCGTTGGATGTGGGTGTAGATGCTCAAAGAAAAAGGAGAAGCTTTTGAAACATTCAAGAAGTTCAAGAAGCTCGTGGAGAGCACGTCGGAGTACAAGTTGAAGATTTTGAGAACTGATCGAGGTGGCAAGTTCACTTCCCAGAAGTTTGCGGAGTTCTGCAAAGAAGAGGGAGTCGAGGTGACAGGGAGTCGAGTGTCACCTCACGACATCGTACACACTTCAACAAAATGGTGTGGTGGAGAGGAGAAATCGCACCGTGATGGGCACCACGAGAAGCTTGCTTAAGAGCATGCAAGTCCCGACGAACCTTTGGGGAGAAGCGGTACGACATGCGGTGTATCTCTTGAACCGCTTGACAACAAAGGTGCTAAGAGATTTTACCCCTTACCAAGCATGGTTCGGCAAACGACTTCATTTGAAGCACTTGAGAGTGTTTGGATGTACCGCACATGTGAAGGTTGCAGGTCCACATCTCAAGAAGCTCGATGATCGAAGTCAAGCAATGGTGTATCTTGGCGTCGAAGACGGAAGTAAGGCGCACAGATTTCTCGATCCACCACGCAGAAAAATTCTTGTGAGCAAAGACACAATGTTTGAAGAGGAGAAGAAGTGGGAATGGTGCAACGATGATGACGAGCTCGTAAAAAATTCATATGGAGATCGAAATTTTACAAGATGACGGAGAAGTAGCGGGTTCAACCTCGCCAATGACACCAGTGGTCACGCCGAACTCTCAATGACAACAAGAAAGCTCGGGAAGATCCACAACCGAAGATGCTCCCAAGAAATTTCGTTCACTTGCCGAGGTCTATGCGGAAGCACCACTAGTAGAAATGGATCTTGATGAATTATTGTTGCTCACTGCCGATGAGCCAACAACATATCACGAGGCGACAACTGAGGAGGCGTGGAATAAGGCCATGCAGAAAGAGCTCGAGTCCATTGAGAAGAACAAAACGTGGGAGCTCATCGACTTGCCACTCGGTCACATGCTCATCGGCTTAAAATGGATGTTCAAGTTGAAAAGAGACAGCGAAGGCAACATCCTCATGCACAAAGCAAGATTGATGGAGAAAGGTTATGTGCAGAAGCAAGGAGTTGACTTCGAGGAATCCTTCACATCGGTGGCGAAACTTGATACCTTCAGGTTAATTCTTTCCCTCACAGCTCATCATGGGTGGGAGATCCACCACTTGGACGTCAAGTCGGTTGCACAAATTTCTCGATCCATCATGCAGAAAAATTCTTGTGAGCAGAGACAGTGTTTAAAGAGGAGAAGAAGTGGGAATGGTGCAACGATGATGACGAGCTCGTACAAAATTCTATGGAGTTCGGAATTTTACAAGATGACGGAGAAGTAGCGGGCTCAACCTCGCCAATGACACCAGTGGTCACGCCGAACTCTCAACGACAACAAGAGAGCTCGGGAAGATCCACAACCGAAGATGCTCCTAAGAAATTATGTTCACTTGCCGAGGTCTATGCGGAAGCACCACTAGTAGAAATGGATCTTGATGAATTGTTGTTACTCACTACTGACGAGTCAACAACATATCACGAGGCGGCAACCGAGGAGGCGTGGAATAAGGCCATGCAGAAAGAGCTCGAGTCCATCAAGAATAACAAGACGTGAGAGCTCACCGACTTGCCACCCGGTCACAAGCTCATCGGCTTAAAATGGGTGTTCAAGTTGAAAAGAGACAGCGAAGGCAACATCCTCAAGCACAAAGCAAGATTGGTGGCGAAAGGTTACGTGCAGAAGCAAGGAGTTGACTTTGAGGAATCCTTCGCACCAGTGGCAAGACTCGATACCGTCAGGTTAATTCTTGCCCTCGCAGCTCATCGTGGGTGGGAGATCCACCACTTGGACGTCAAGTCGGCATTTCTCAATGGTGATATTAAAGAAGAAGTTTACATCACCCAACCCGAAGGATTCATTGTCAAGAATGAAGAGCACAAGGTGTACAAGTTATCCAAAGCTCTCTACGGACTACGCCAAGCACCAAGGGCGTGGAACACTTGTCTTAACAAGAGAATGATGAGTCTAGG